CACTCTTTCTGCATGAGCAGATTCAGAAACACTCCATTAAACCTTTCAGTATTTAATATAAAGAGTAATCTCTCACCTCTGAGGAGATAAGCCAGTTGCTGAGTGATTAACTCTGGTGCCTCTTGAAGAATCTCTTTTACTACTAAAGAGGAAGAAGATGCTTGTAACTCCAGGCTGCCATCACATGGCTCATCTGGATTGATGACTTTGACAACAGCTGATTCCAAACTTTTATCCTCACTATCAAGCAAAATTAAAAATTATATATATATTTATTTCTATAGCTTAAACGACCCAGTAAAACAATGCCTTTTTTTTTTTCTAATTCTGGACTATAACAGTATTTTTATTGCCACTTGAAGTCTGCTATGAAGCCAAAGAATGTCACAAAGAAGTCCTAAAACCAATTTTTTTAATGAAGTGTTCACAGTGGTTTTATTGCATGATGCATCACTATGTACTGAGACTTAAATGTTTATATTTACATTATCAAAATCTTTAAAAATTAATAATTTGAAAAAATACTTCTACATGTACTGAAAGCATATTTTTTTATATAGGAGAGGTTTGGAATTTTCCTCTGCTTAATATATTGTAAACTTGCAAAAGGTCTTTTTCTTGCACTTAGACACTTTATGTTTCTGCTTATAATCACAATAACAAAGCCAAAGTATATTGGGTAATAGAAAATCCTAATCATAAGATAAGGTGTTACTTAAATGAAGTTCTAAAGAGAGTTGGAAGTAAACAGCATCCTTCACTCCTGTCCTGGTTTGAGTGGCCAGCCCAGCCCTAAACCTTGACAACTCTGGGCAAGACAGTAAGACCATTATAAAGAGGCTCCTTAGAAAACATTCTCTATTGGTTTGTAAATATTCTCTCTTAAGGATGGGTATATGGACTATGGTCTTCCACAGAGCAACTCTGACCTTCTAGCACTGAGGACATTTTGGGAAAAATGCTGTAGTTTGTAGGGACTACAATGGTCTAACACCGATCTTAACAGCAAATATGCAAGTGTGCTTCCCTTCTCTAGATCAGTTTGAGTGTCTTAATGCCTTTAGTAAAAACTAGGTGAGAAGCAAGAAAAAAATCTGATCTCTTTTTTTATTGCTCACAGGAAACTTAAAGGACTATTTAATCTAAATTATAATATCTAATTGAAGCTATGGGAAAATAAAAGGTCCTTTAAAAAGGGAGTTTCATGAAAAGTGATGGTAAGATGACTATTTAGTTTGTCACATTTATTTGACATAATGGGAGACAAAATATGTTTCAACTTGCTTTTTTTTTTCATCTGTTAACATAGCAATACTAATGCAGGAAAAATGTAAAATATAATTTTTATAACAGCTCAAACCCACACAAGCCATCTTGTTGTACATACAATGCAGTACCTTGTCAGCATGTTGCTGTTTACAAGCGTTAAAGACAATTTCCCTTCAGCATTCAGCTGGTGCAAATTGATCTCATCTCGGAAGATATGGTATGACTCCGGGATATTCAGCTCCTCCAATATAAATCTCATCTCTGTAAAGTAGCTAAAATCTTTTCGTGGTATGTTCAAAACAGGTAAGCAAAGAACATCAGGAGGACTGACCTGTAACACAGGTGTGCATTTGTCAGAGCTGCATAAAATAAGACTTGTTTTTTTATTAGAAAGATATTTTAACAGAGAGCAATTGGAGGCAGTCTGAATTTTTTGTTTGTTTTCTCACACTTTTAGTTATTTTAAAAAAAAAAGTCTTTTGCTTTTTTTCTTGTTCTTCTCTCTGTTTGCCTCCCACAGAATCATTGGGAAACCAGGAAGGCCAAGAAAGAATGATGTGCAGGGGTGATTTTTTTGCTGCTACTGAACAAACCACCTAATACTTATTAACTTTTGTATGGAAAGAAATTTAGATTGTTTCTATTTAAGAAACACACCTCTGATTATAACAATATAATTGTCCAGAATAATGTTTTTACAGTATGTTTTAATTTACATAACAATAAGACATCCATAACAACCTGAAACAAACAAGTTAAGACCACTTGGGTCCATTTTTTCCATTACCTTGTCTAGAAAGTAGGCATAGGCCAAGGTAGAAATGAGTGAATCCAAATCACAGGATTTATTCCCAAGAACAACATGGACTTTCTCCAGGCATTTGCTCCTGTTCTGCAACACATTAGAACACAATCCAGTGAGCGACAGTGATGAGAAAAAACAAAGCCCAATCACCAAGACACTTCAAAAGACAAGCTAATTATCAGGCATTGTCCTCAGCTGTTGCACTTTTCAACACTGGCTGAAGGAATGCACCAACAGTAGGATCACACATGTTTCCTTGGCTTCATAGCTCCCAAGAAAGCCAAGAAATCTGTGTTTCATAAGAGGCTTCAGGTTTGAACCCAAGCAAGATCTAACCTGACAAAAGTCCCATTAGCAGCAAAGTAACAGGTAAGCAGCTTCATGGATATGTGGGGAAAGCTTCTGAAAACACCTCACTTATCTAATAAAAGCAGTCCCAAACAGTGTGCAAATACATACAGCAAAAGATACATAGTAAGTTATAATTTTCATTTTCCCTTTTTATTTTGCTCTGCTGAAATCTGTAACTAGACAAAGTTAAGTGCCTTTTATCCCTGACTCTTGAGAAGCTGAACACACCCACTTAGAAGCACTAAGCAATAGGAGTTGTTCTTACTTGCAAAGGGAAGCAAGTCTGTTCTGCATTTGATAAAATTAGGAGCCTTCTAAACACAATGAAAAGTAAAGGCAGACCAACTGTGTGAAAGCAAAATATTGCAAGGAAGTGTCTACCTTCTTCACAATTACTCACACAAAACGTAAGGTGATGTTTTTCTCTTGTACACATCATTAACATCAAATTAGCTGCATAGAAACAGTCTGGTTTATTTTCTTTTAATGAGCTATGCTTCTCAATTTGAGAAGCATTTCTGACTGACGCTAAGGTAGATGTTTCAGAACAAAATATATGCAATTACACATTTTTGTTGTTGTTGCCATCATATACAAGCTGATGTTCTTTTTGTTATTTTTAATTAGGACTCTGGATATCAAATAAAATCTTAATCTTTCAACAGAAGTATATCATTAGTATGTTATCCTCAATAATCATAAATAGGCATTTATTTTAAACTAACTTTTTTTCTCTGTGTCTAGTTTTACCTCTATCTGGATATAAGAAACTTTAGTTCTTTTTCCTTTATATAGAACACTGCCACCAAAATGCCTTTGGGTAATAAAACCAGGCCACCTATTCTCCATTCCCTATGTATCAGGAAAGGCAGAGAGCTTTTGTGAAGAGTACAGCAACTGGAACATACACGTTCATTTATGCTTTAGGCTCTCACCAGCAATACACTGTTTTCATTTTCCTCTTTTCAATATGTTTTTTGTCATATCATTCTTGTGCAGCATACATTTCTGATCGATCTGCCACTCTATAGAAAAAAAAACTTTATGTGTTCATCTTTTTTCAGGATTATTTAGTGTATAGAAGTCTCTTCCTTTAGGTTCATCACTACTGCATGGCAAATGATTCAACTCCGAAAGAGAAGAAAATTGAACAAACTTACAAATTGATTATTAAATCTACACAGCCATCCGCCTCTGGGAATCCAGTGCAAACAATGTAAACAATTTCAAGCCATCTGATGTCGTTCTATATCTACATATTCTCTGCCTCTAAAACTATTTACTCCCCGTTGCTCATATTCCACAAACCACTATCCTGTACACAACTTGCAAGGATCCTCAACAGTCATCTGAGTTTCATTGATCAACGTCTGACCTATTCATATGATCGGGTACAAGTGTTTTCTTTTGAAAAATTAAGACTTTTTTGGGTTGTCTTTAGAATTCTTTTTCTCAACTGCACACTTGTTTTTACAACTCACATGTCGTCTGTAGCTTTGTTAAACAAACCATGTTAGCTTAGCTTTGTTACACAGGTATACTGCAGTTCTAAAATCTCTAGGAAATCATGTGGCAGAAGAATTACCAGAGATGGGAAATTCCTCTTTGTCTTAACAGCTGTTTAAAAGGGAAAAAAAAGAATTCACATTTAAAAAAAAAAAAAACAAAACAAACAAAAAAAACCAGCAACACAAAAACAAAACAAAACAAAACAAAAACAAACAAACAAACAAACAAACAAACAAAGAAACAAACACAACAAACAACCAGCAGCCTTCAATCATTTGTATGTGCCATCACATATCCCCTCTTTATTACCTCTTCAGGAATGGAGACAGAATAATTACACAAAAAAACTGAAGAATTCCAAGGCTGAAAGTTTCTGAACCCTATAGTTGACTTCTGAAGAAATGAGAAAAGCGTGGCTATAAAGAGCAGAATACACAGAGAACAGAGTGGAGCAAGAAAGCTCTGGAGACCATCTCTTTGTAATCCAAACAGGTCAACTAGCCTGAGGACTGATTTTTTAAGTCCAGCACACCAGAATTTCATCAACACATATGAACTAGAATAGACTGTGGAAGGACAGGCCGTTTCCTTGGACTGTTCTTATAAGCTTAACAAGAACTCTGAGATGAAGCTTATTAAGCTGAGTTTTTAGTATGACAGCAGAGTAACAGTGAGAGGATGTATTTCTTGGTCAGGCTGTTAACATACTAACCTTCCAAGGAATCACTGGTTTCTTCCAGAATATTTCTGCCCAAGACAAGCATGCAGTCAAGGTAACCTACTAGCTACTGCCAAGTCTTTCCCAAAATAAAGGGAATGAAAACCAAAATTCTCAAGATATTGAAGATCTTCTATTGCACATTGCCTTTCTCTGGTCACTCCAGAGAGGATAGATTTTGTTTCATCCACTACAATTAGCTATTTTACAACTCTACCTCTCCCTGAGTACGAATCTGTTAATTTACTTACAACTTCCCCCTTTCACTCCCTAATCACTCCTTTGTGACTTCCAACAAAGTGGTTCTACAGTGGGTTTGTTTGGTTTTTTTTCTCTAATAAAATATGACAGTTACTCAACTAACATTAAAATACAGAATTAAACTATAAGCTATCTTGGTATTTAATTCAAGTTTCTTTAATTCAAGATTTTAAGGCCAAAACTGGCCAGAACAAACAGCAAAGAATGCCTGTGCTTCATATTCCGACGATGCAAACACTGACTACAGAGAAAAATGATAGTCCACACCTTGTTTCACCAGTCTGAAGAATTTTCTTTGTTAAAAAGAAGTGTGCAAGTGAGTAAAGAGGCACCTTCTAATACCAAATAATGTATTACCAAACTAATTATTAATAATATAATAAATTTATATTAATAAAGTTGTAGAATGTGTTTGGACAGTTAATTCTTCCCATAGTTCTGGAAACTATAAAGGGAGCAAAACAACAAAAACAAATTATTATCTTCCTAAACTAAACCCTCCATTCCCTAAACAAATATTCTTATCCACGTAAGTAATCTGTTCTCACAAAGACAAGCTGGATTCGACAATCCTTATGGGTCCATTCCAACTGGAGATATTCTATGATTCTATGATATATTTCTAGAAAACAGCATAAATTTGGTATTGATAGAAATAGATCAGGCTTGCAGATCAATCTGCACCGGTCACATTTAGAAGTCCCACCCTACTATTTGCATTCACATAGTATGTGATGTCCCATTAGAGGCAAAGCAGCCACTCCCCTAAGCACATGGATGTAACTCCAAATCATAGATCAGAAGCTATGGTCCAAGAGCTACCACATGCAAAACGGACCAGACAGGGACGTGTATGGAGAAGCACATAAACAGGTACATGCTATCCCTGACACAGATCAGTACATCAGTTATGAATTATTTACCTTTCCATTCCCCAGTGATGACCACTAAAATAATTCAGTGACACATCAAGATCACACTTGTGTAACCGATTTGCATGGATGACATTTTCTATTCAATATGAACTGGGTATTTATCAGATGCCAGAATCACAGACTATGTATTTATAGTTTAATAGATTGCTTAACACATCTAACTACCATCTCCCACGTTTTATTTTAACATAGGAAACCTGCTTGTACCAATAACACAAACCCTTTATCAAAAGTTTAGTGATTGGACAAACAATTTGAGATCTGTGGATCAGATAAAAGATCACCTCTACCAAACTGCAGTTATAGAAAATGGAATGCTGCTGCATACAGTGCCATCCACCAATTCTTCCACAGGATTACTGAAGCAATACTTTTAGCCTTCAATCCGATTTGCAGTAACTTAGAAGTTCTAGAAGTCAGTACTTTCAACATGAATTCACTTCCTTAGATAGCATGCGAGAATCATTTTGGTTGGAAGAGACCTTTAAGATCAAGTCCAACCATTGAGAATCATTGCTGGCAAAAAGGCATCACCACCCACAGATAAAAATAATGAGATAAGTCTTTCAGGAACAAACAGGTCTTGTAGTCTATAACATTGTTGCTTATTACAGCTTTTAAAGCAATCAAAAGCCGGCAAGAAGGAGAGTACTGATAGATCTGGTGTTAAGAGGAATAACTTAATGAACCATCACAAGACTATTTTCATACGGATTAAAATATTTTAAAATCAATGGAACCCTCAAACAACCTTTGTTTTCACTTTCCAGGGCTAAAACCTGAATTTTTCCATAACAGTATAAACAAAACACTGCACAAAACAAGCATTCCCTGTAATGTGCTGCCTTTTTTGCGTATTCAGAACAAAAGTACACTGTCCCTCAATTCTCACATTAGATAATGGCTTTCAAAGAGCATATAAAAGAAATCGCATTCTCTAGCTGAGGTGATATCTTCAGCCCTGACAGACTTAGGTGGAGAGTTTGGTCTCTAACATTGAAACCTTTTCTGATGCTGGGGAAACTGTCTCAGCTTCTATGGCTGCTCATGGTTCAGAAACTAACACAAAACCAACATCAGCTACTGTCTGTTGTTATGACTTGACTTCTTACCTTTTTTTTTCTAGAAGATCAAAGCACAAGATGAAGCTTCCACTGACAGTCCCAGAATCTGCTCTAAAGATCAATTATATCTTTTTTTTTTTCACATCCTGATCTCTGCACTTGTATTTATTAAGCATAATTTTATTCTCTTCTTCCCCTCATGCAGGTCCAAGACATATCATTTCACCAATTTCCTCTCCCCATGTGCAG